ACATCTGGTGCATTGATGTCCACTTTGGGGCCTTTCACATCAACAGAAGGAGCTTTGATCTCGCCTTCTATTTTGGGGGCTGTAACATCATAATCTCCTTTTACCTTAGGACCTTTTAAATGCAAACCAACATCTGGCATGGATATCTTCTGAGGCTTTATGTTCATTTCTGGCAGCTTAAATTTGGGACCTTTGAGTTTTGCATCTGGACCTTCAATATTCACATCTGGAACTTCAACATCCACCTTGGGTCCTGAGACATCGATGTCGGCCTTAGGCAGATTCACATCTACATCTGGGCCCTCTGCTTTGAAGCCGGGCATGCTGAACTTGGGCATTTTCATTTTGGGCATCTTCAGGTGCCAGTCTGGGCCATGGACATCCACATCTGGAGCATCAATGCCAACTTTTGGCCCTTTAATGTCAACATCTGGCACTTTTATTTCACCTTCGACGTCAGGTAAAGACACATCCACATCTCCCTTTACTTTTGGCCCCTTAACATTCAAGTCCACATCAGGCATGGAGATCTTGGGGGCCTTGAAGTGCATCTCAGGCATCTTAAACTTGGGACCCTTCAGTTTTCCTTCTGGACCTTCAAGGCTCACATCTGGGGTTTCAATATCAACTTTGGGTCCAGCAATGTCAATGTCGGCCTTGGGCAGTTTCACATCCACCTCTGGGCTCTCTGCTTTAAAGCCGGGCATGCTGAACTTGGGCATTTTCATCTTGGGCATCTTCAGGTGCCAGTCTGGGCCATGAACATCCACATCTGGGGCATCAATGTCCACTTTGGGGCCTTTGATGTCCACATCTGGCACTTTCATTTCACCTTCTATCTTGGGCACTGTCACATCCACATCCCCTTTGACTTTGGGGTCTTTCAAGTGTAAGTCCACATCAGGCATGGAGATCTTGGGGGCCTTGAAGTGCATGTCTGGCATCTTAAACTTGGGACCCTTTAGCTTCCCTTCCGGACCCTCAAGGCTCACATCTGGAGCTTCAATGCCCACTTTTGGTCCTGAAACATCAATGTCAGCCTTGGGCAGGTTCAAATCCACATCTGGACCCTCACCTTTGAGGCTGGGCATGGTGAACTTGGGCATTTTCATCTTGGGCATTTTCAGGCTCCAGTCTGCACCTTGAACTTCCACATCTGGTGCTTTGATGTCTACCGGGGGACCTTTGATGTCACCCTCTATTTTGGGGGCAGACAGATCTAGATTTCCTTTCATTTTTGGCCCTTTGAGATCCAGGTCAACATCTGGCAAAGACATCTTTGGAGCCTTGAAGTGCATCTCAGGCATCTTAAACTTTGGACCTTTCAACTTCCCTTCTGGTCCTTCAAGGCTCAGGTCTGGAGCACTAATATCTACCTTTGGTGCAGAAATGTCCACATCTGCCTTGGGAAGGTTCACATCCAATTCTGGGCCTTCTCCTTTGAGGCTGGGCATGCTAAATTTGGGCATTTTAATCTTTGGCATTTTCAGGTTCCAATCAGGACCGTGAACATCAACATCTGGGGCACTGACATCTACTTTTGGACCTTTCAGATCCCCTTCTATCTTTGGCACTGTAACATCGTATTCTCCCTTTACCTTGGGACCTCTCATATGCAAATCCACATCAGGCATGGAGATCTTGGGGGCCTTGACGTTCATCTCTGGCATCTTAATCTTGGGACCCTTCAGATTTCCTTCAGGTCCTTCAATATTCACATCTGGAACATCAACATCCACCTTGGGTCCCGAGACTTCAATGTTGGCCTTAGGGAGGTTCACATCCACATCCGGGCCCTCTGCTTTGAAGCCAGGCATGCTGAATTTGGGCATTTTCATTTTGGGCATCTTCAGGTGCCAGTCTGGGCCACGAGCTTCCACATCTGGGACATCAATGTCCACTTTGGCACTTTTGAGTTCAACGTCGGGAACTTTAATGTCACTTTCGACCTTTGGCACTGTGACATTATATTCTCCTTTCACACTAGGGCCTTTCAGTTCTAAGTCCACATCTGGCATGGAGATCTTGGGAGCTTTGATGTTCATTTCAGGCATTTTGAACTTAGGCCCTTTCAATTTGCCTTCTGGTCCCTCAATGCTCACGTCTGGAGCACTAATCTCTACCTTGGGCCCAGAAATGTCCACATCAGCCTTCGGCAAATTCACCTCCACTTCTGCACCCTCTGCTTTGAGCCCTGGCACACTAAATTTGGGCATTTTCATCTTGGGCATCTTCAGGTGCCAGTCTGGGCCATGAGCTTCTACATCTGGGACATCAATGTTCACTTTCGGGCCTTTCAGTTCTCCTTCCAGCTTTGGAACTGTGACATCATACTCTCCCTTCACCTTTGTACCTTTAACATGCAGATCTACATCAGGCATGGAGATCTTTGGTGTCTTGACACTCACTTCAGGCACCTTAATATCAGGGCCTTTAAGTTTGCCCCCCAGGCCCTCCATCTTGACATCTGGAGCTTCCACGTTGACCTCTGGCCCTGAAATACTGACATTTCCTTTGGGTAGAGTCATTTCTACATCTGGGCCTTCCCCTTTGACCCCTGGAGTGCCGAACTTGGGCATTTTCATCTTGGGCATTTTCAGGTTCCCGTGAACTTCCACATCTGGGGCACTGACGTCCACTTTGGGGCCTTTGACATCAATTTCAGGGACCCTGACTGTCCCTTCTACCTTTGGGAGTGTGACATCCACACCCCCTTTCCCTTTAGGTGCAGCCACGTTTAAGTCCACATCTGCCATAGAGATCCTACAGGTTCCTGTTTTCCCAGAAGGACTGCCCAGCTTGGGGCCTGTCAAGGTCCCCTCTAAGTCTGGTGTCTCTATGTCCACTTTGGAGCCTTTAACTGCCACTTGAGGGCCTTTAACATCACCTTTCACCTCAGGAGCAGAAACCTTAATATTTCCTTTTAGTTTAGGGGACCCAAGACTCAGATCCACATCCTGCATAGAGATTTTAGGTTTCTGAATAATCATTTCAGGAGTCTTGACTTTAGCACCCTTCATCTTCCCTTCCAGCCCACCAGTAGAGATCTCAGGTAAGCTCACATCCCCAGAGGCCCCAGGAAGAGTCACTTCACCTGTCGGCAGTGTCACATCAATGCCAGCTCCCTCTCCCTTTGAACCTGAGGCAGAGAATTTAGGGACTTTCATCTGGGGCACATTCAGTTTGCCCCCAGGCCCATGAATATCGACGTCAGGGGCTCGAATTTCCACACTGGGGCCTGTGATGCTGCCCTCAATTTTGGGAGCAGAGGCATCTATTCCTATGCTTCCCAGTGGCTTGGAACCTTTCAGGCCTAAGTCACCCTCAAGTGATGGCCCAGCAATCTGAGGGCCTTTCAGCTTCCCATCAAGCCCCGCAATATTGGCAGAGGGGGCACTGACTTCCAGGTGAGGGGCTTGGATATTCCCACCAATGGTCAAGCCGGGCTTGCCGCCCTTATGCCCTACAGAGAATTCAGGCGCAGAAACATTCAATCCTACCTCTGGTGCCTCGGGCCCGGCAGACACACCAAATTTTGGCATCTTCATGGTAGGAATCTTAATTTTGCCAGTATCGCAGCTCTGGGGGGATGGGCCCTGCACCTCTGCTACCCCACCCTCAAGAGCAGATGAAATATCCACTCCTGGAACTTGGATCCCTCCTTTGCCACCCAAGCCTGAGCCCTTTGCACTGACACTGACACCGGTGCTTCCCACCTTTATACCAGGCACAGTGACCTGGAGTTTCGAGTGGCCAGCACCCTGAAGCTCTGGTCCTGAGGCAGAAATGGCCCCTGCCTGGATGTCGACGGCGGCACCTGTGGTTGGAGAGACCCCCGAGCCTGAGGGCAATCGGATCACTGTCTTTCCAGGCTGGGTCTCCACATCCACATTGGAGATTTCAGTCACTTCATGCCTTGGAATCTTGATCATGAATTCAGGGCTGCTGATGTCGATGTCCTTGGATCCTTCCCGGCCGGTCACATCCACAGTGTAGGCTGTGACCCTTCTGGTCACTGTGATGGTGCGGCTCTGGGTCTCCCCAAGATCCCCTTCCACGCCATCCTCCGACTTCAGCCGAGGCTTGATCTTTGTGGTGTAGATGCGCTGGTACTCCTCATCATCCCCGCTCTGCAGAAAGACACGCCCCGCAGAGGTTGCAGCAGAGCCTGCCTAAGTTGGCAGATACCCGCCGCAGCCTAGCTGACAACCTGGTTGCCGGTTTCCCAAAGGAGCTGGGACTATAACCAAGGTCCAGGGAGCCTCCTGGAACAGAGAACAAGGGACTGAAGAAGGGAGCTGACAGCCACGTCGCAGGAGGAACACAGAAATGATCTGGGTAAATTCTGGTATCAAAAACCATGGAGAGGCTGGGATAGACTCCTGGACCCGGCCGTCTTGGAGGAGGACCTATAATCCAGGAGAGCTTCAGCCTGGAATGTCCCAGGGACTGGATGGGGGACCATCAGCTCTCAACTCTCAACTCACTGGTTGTTTGTTTAATCAAAAAGAGGCTCCCAGGCCCTGCGTTGGAATGCACTTGTTGAGCCCAAGAGCCTGGATGTGCTTTGGCTACCACTTTCACTTTGAGGAGCTGTCATTTGCTTAATAAACAAGCCCTCAGAAGAAGCAGAGAAGCATTCCTACAGGCACAGAGAAAAAGGATATCTGTGAAACAGAGGGGGAATTAATTCAAAGAGCTTGCAGAGTGGCCGACCTTCCTCCTGGTGTCTAGGCCCAGACCTCATGAGCTGGTTCCCATGCCATGGCACAGTGGGCACTCTCAAGAGAATGATGGAAGACTTACGGGCAGCATCAGCCACATGCCACACAGGAGTAGGAAGGAACAGGCTAACCAAGGGCCCAAGAGAGCCCAGAAAGGTGAAAAGAGGAGGAGTTAGAAGAAAGTCCAAGAAGCAGACAGAAGGTTCATAAAGTGGGGACAACAGGCCAGTGTGGTCTAGGGGAGCTCAGGGCACAAATGGGCCACATGGTACTCACCAGAACCACCTCTGAGCTGCGGGAGCTGAAGACTTCATGGGTCCAGGTCTGACCAGGCTCAGGGGAACGATCCCCCTTGCGGTGTAGCTTCAGGCCGACAGTGTGATGCCCCATGGTGTTCAGCAACTGGGTCACCTCGCCTGACTGCAGGTTGTCAAAATAGATGGTGGCACCCACAATCTGGTCCCCTGAGCAGGAAAGAGCAGCAAACAGGTAAGACCCAGGGTCTTAGGGAAACAGCCATGCACTGGGCATGTAAACTGAATTGCTTTAACCCTCATGAGCACCAGGAGGGTTTGGTAAGACTCAATGTACAGATGAGGAAACCGGGGCTCAGGCTATTGCTGGGTGCAGATGCACACACCTGTAATCCTAGCAACTTGGGAGGCTGAGGCAGGAGCATTGCAAGTTCAAGACCCCAGCAATTTAGCAAGACCTTGTCTCCAAATAAAATAAAAACAGTTAAGAATGTGGTTCAGTGATAGAGTGTCCTGTACCTCAAAAAAAAAAAAAAAAAAAAAGGAAAAGAAAAGAAAGACTATTTCCAAAGCTGCGTCTCCATGACCCCCACAACAGCCTCCCAGGAGTCCACAGGCAAGAAAGGGCCAGACTCTGGTACCCACCATCCTGAGGTGCTGGGACTGGATCCTCTGTAGCCACTTGCCCATTTGTGCCTGCTCCCTGCCCTCTATCCTGTCCTTCCACACCCTCACCCACCCCCAATTCCTGGCACCCAATGCACACTCACCCTCCTTGACCACCCCAGTGCGGGCCGCAGGGGAGTTCTGCATCACCTCCTGCACAAAGACACCGTCATCCCTCTGGGCAATGGTGAGCCCATGGGAGCCGCTGCCCTGCCAGTTGGGCAGCAGCAGCTCCCGGGTAGTCTCTTCCTCCTTCTCCATCTGGGAAGAGATGAGAAAATGGAGCTCAGGTCAGTGGGGACATGAGGACATGAGGGCATGAGAAAGCCATGGATTCGGGCTTCCAGGGAGTGAAAAGGAGGTGACCAGCCCCTTGTCCCTTCCACTCAGGGCCCAACCTCCCAATGCCACAAAAGGTTTCCAACATCCCCCATTCTGACACCTCCACCCACAAACCCTCACACTCTCCCTCCTACTGACCTTTGCAGGATTCAGTTCAGGAGCGAATGCCTTGCCAGGAGCCCGCCCCTCCTTCCTTTCTTCCCCTCAGTCTCTCTGTCGGGAATCTCGGTCACACAGCCTAGGGACAAATTCATAAAGATGCTCACACTCAGCTCACTTGAAACCCCTGACCAACGCTGTTCCCCAGGCCAAGCCCCCACTACAGTCAGCAGTTCCATGATTCTCAAGCCTGGTATCACGGAAAGTAGGCTGAGAGGAGGCCAGACCCAGTTTCAAACCCTGGCTCTGCCTCGTCCTAGCTGTGGGACCTTGGCCAAGGCACTTGACTTCTCTGAACCTCCCTTTCCTCATCTGCAAAAATGGAAATGAAAAAGGATTTCCGAGAGGTGTGAAGGAAAGAGAAGCGAGCACTGGCAACACAGGTGTTCCACAACACCACATGCTCATCAGTCTCCACAGCAGCTTCCTGAGGGAGACATTACTGTCTCCACTTTACAGATGGAGACAGAAATTTTGAGAGACCAATTTATCCAGGCTTTACTCCAAGAGAACAATGATACCAGTCTACAACCTGCATCTGGAATGCTCCCCTAAACCACATCTTGTCTGATATGAGACTCCTCAGAAGGGGCCTCTAAGGTGGGGATGGCAATGCCCTCCCTCTCCCAGTGACAACATGCTAGTTTATCATCTCTAACCTGGTCCTCAGGACCAAGAGGAATCCTCGCCAGATGGGAACTCTAGGAGTCTTGCCGCTACCTGAACAAAAAGGAGCCCTAATCCCAGCAGGCAAGGGCCCAAACCAAGAGGCTGGGGTAGAGCCAAGACTGCCTCAGACCCACGGTGAGTGGAGACCCATCTGGCTGCCCACACTGAACCATGAGGCAGGTCCTTAAGTAAAGTCACGCCACGCAACAGGATGAGCTGTCAGCTGCAGTGGCACCCTGATAAGACTTTAGGCAGAACCCTGGGTACAGCCAGGAACTACAGCCACCCTCACAAAATGGTGGCATCAGCCATCAAAAGCATACCCCTGAAATTGTGTAGGGGAGCCTCACCCAGAGCTCCACCCTGAAGCTGTTTGCATCAAGAATTAGTCTACCAATCAATAAATACATAACTACCGATCACCTCCTGAATGTCCACCATTGTACCAGAGGCTGCAAAAGACTCTAGTCAGGAACAAACACAGCCCAGCCCAGCACTTAATTGCATACTGCATGAGATTGTTACCTAACGCCACTCATGCATCCTCTAAACATTTATTGAATGCACTCCATGTGCCAGATATGGAAATTTAAAACACTTAGATCCTGTCCCAGATATAAATTATAACTGAGGTGCTCTGGGTGTAACCAATTTAGCTTCAGAATGTTCCAGAGGCTTGAGAACCTTCTCAGAAATGACTATAAATGGGTCTACAAGGTGCTACAGGACTGTGACTCTTGGAAATTCACAGGCACTCAGCAGTTCCAGTCTAGGTGGATCTCAACGTGGATGAAAAGGTAAACACAACCCCTCACCCCCTCCAGCCTAGGCCTCCACACCTGTTCTCCCAGTTGACAAACTCATAAATGCAGTGCTTGTCATGGACACAGGTGCTGAGGGCCTGCTGGCACAGGTGTGAGCTGGGAAAACAGCTCATCCCTTCCCAGCAGGCAGAGAGGCCACTGCAGGAAGTGGCCATGACCCTTTCCAATATGAAACAGCAAAACTGGAACTTAAAGGGCACCTTCTGGGTTAAGTCCAGTGCTAAGAAGCCAGCCCTGCAGATAAAGAGGCAGGCAGAGGCAGCGATGGTGAAAGTTTCCAGCCCAGGCCTCTCTGTTCCGAAGCCCCCTCGGGTCTCCCCAGCACCCATCTTCCTCCTCGAGTGGGGCCCCTTTCTCAGCCCAGCGTCCTGGTGCTGAGCCAGCAGCAGGCGGGGAGAAAGCAGCCAGCTCACCCTCGCCCACATGTCAGCCCCACCCTCCCTCCTTCCCCAGTGAGTCACTGCGGCCGGCAGCAACAGCTCCAGACAGGCAAAGGGTCACGCCTAAAACCCGATCTGCACACGCCTCCTCCTCTAGACCCCCAGGTGCCACAGGGGCTGGGGCTCCTGTTAGCTCCTCAGGACGGGGACCCTAGACAGGAGTCCTGGAAGCACAAAGCTGGAGCCCAGGAGCTTCAACCAGGCTGCCTCCAGGAGAGGGAGAAGCCACTCTGAGAAAGGTACGCAGCCTGGGAAGACTGAAGCTGTTGCACCTGAGGCTGCAGGTGGGTCCTGGCCGGGCACTTGAGAGCTTCCTCGCCAGGTGAGGCTGCCCACCACCCCACTGCTGCGGCTCCAGTCATGCCTTCCTGACCCAGCCAGCAAGGACTCCCCTCTCAGCTGATCTGGGCCGTTCAGTCCTGAGGATCCGCATGGGATGCAAACAGAAGCTGTAAGCCATGATGGCAAGGACCTGCATGTGGGTCCCAGCCCTTGGTCTCTCCCCTGTCCCTGGAGCCTATATACCAGGCGCAGATGGTCCTTCCGTCTCCTCCTCCCACGCAATTGAGGTTTAGTCAGGCTTCCCGGGTGCGGAGGGCTCTGTCCTGCTTTCTCCCCGAGGCAGTTCTCTGGAGCTCTGGGGAATTCCATGTTCCTCCGTCAAGCATCACAAGCCTCTGGGCTATTACAGACCTCAGAGTCAGGCTATCCAACATGGTGGCGTATCCACGCGTGACTATTTAAACTTAAATCAAGTTACATTAAAACTGTAGTTCATTCATGGCACTAGCCACATTTCAGGAGTTTCACTGACCACATTTCAGGCTACTGGCTCCCATCCTGGCATGGATCTAGATTTCCCCCACTGTGGGGTTCTATGGGACAGCACTGACAGCCACACCAGATGAGGGAACAAGGTCTAGAGAGGCGAGAATGGAGCAGTGCTGGGTCCTGGAACCCTGGCCTGCTAGCTCATAGCCCACCTGACCCTGGCTCACGGTGTTCTTTGTGATAGGAAGAGCAGGGCTGGAGTGAAAACCCCTTAGGTCACAAAAGAACTAAGATCCTGAGGACGCTCTGACTGCAAAGCTGAGAAGACACATTCAAGACTACAGGGACGGAGCGTGTTTCAGGCCAGAAGCCCTGACGGAAGAACGGGCCATTCTATGATTCAAAACCTCAAAGAATATATACAGAGAAGCAGGGCTCTGCCGTGCCCACTACCATGGACTGGGGGGACACAGAGCCGACCCAGGAGATGCCCAGGAAGCCGAATCCTTGCCCAAAGCAGAGGGCCTCTGCTAGGGCTGGCTTCTGGAGGAGCATTGTTTCTCCAGTGCTCAGAGGAGTGGGGACCAGGCCTCTTCGCCGACAGAGATCACATGAAGCCAGCCAGGGAGGGGGCCTAGGCTAATTGCTGCAGCAGCTGAAGACAGCCTTGCATCAGCTTCTGCGTCAAAATGACAGGAACTGATACACTCCCCGAGAAGCCCATGGGCCTCAATGCCTGAATGCACCAACCTGAAGATGCACACCCGAGGGGCACATGACTCGCATCCACCTACACAGGCTGGACACAGAAGGCAACACTTCAAGGAAGAGAGAGGCACCCCCTCCCACATGGCAGGGAAGACACCAGCCGCAGCGAAAGTTCCACCCAGCACAGCAGCTCCCACCGGTGCCAACCAACCCACCATAGACACAGGGCCAGAGAGAAACAGTCCCTGTCCTGATCGTGCAATGACTCAAGCCCAGAATTAGAGACCTCCACCACAGGGAAAGCCCCAAACACTCATAACCAGGAGGTGGGGTGGATATTCAAAGAAGAGAGACACACCCAGGGCGGGGGGGGGGGGGGGGGTGCCCTCATAAACACTCCCCAGAGCAAGGAGGAAGAGAAAGCTCCACATGGGAAGAAAGAAAGAACCCTCCTAACCTCATCCCGACTGCCGCCACACATTGAGAGAGAATTCTGCAGAGAATTCTGCACTGTTGCCTGCAAGGTACTGTGCTGGCGACATCCCATGCCTGGGGTCTCAGTCCGTCCCCAAACAACCCTATGCAGTGAGAATTAAGATTCTTATTTTAGAGATGTGAAAACAGGCATCAGAGGTTAGATGACTGAGCTGCCCTGCAGGCCCAGGGTTCTCTGACTCCAACGCCAACAGTTTTCACTCAAGAAGAGATGAAGGCACAAGTAAATACACAGGATGAGACACCACAGAGAAAGATGCACGCGGGAGATATCAGAAGTGAGATCGGAGCTGGAGGGGTAAAGAATGAATGCTGGAGGGACAGACCCATAGGAAGACAGAGGAGCCTCCAGAGGCCCCTCCCCACACACCAGCCAAATGCTGGCCCTGCTGGGGTCCCAGCGCCTTGCATTCGAGGGGCCTTTGGATTCTGGGACTCACAGAAGTTGCGTCTCCAGGAGTCAGTAACCCTGAGCTTCCCAGAACCCAGCTCACCTCTAGGTTTATCCTGGGCCCCAACAGGTGGGGGAAAGAGAACCTTCTGGGGCTGAACCGGCACCAGGCTCACTCTAAAGGCAAGCACTCACAGGGTAATGCAAGCATTGCCACTCCCTGGGAGAAGGAAATGTCCCTGGCAGGCAGACCCTCATCCCAGAGGAGCAAGGAGAAATACAGGGGTGGCATCTCCCAGGACCTAAGCCTCAAAATGGACCCTCAAGGATGCAGCTGCCAGACTTCTATTTGGGGAGGAAAAAAAGCATACCCTTTTTCTACTTGAAGTAGAAGTGGGCAGTGATCTAAGTGGCACTGGGAACCTTCACAAATCTACCCAGCTGATTCTGGGCAGTATGCCCCAAGGGGGCACTTTTCAATTTACGAGGGAGGGTGGAATTATCAGGGAGAATCAGACCCACATATTGCAAGATACAGGTGACATGGACCCTGGAAAGATATTCAGAGAAAGACATACAAGGACTCACACACACAGCAGGTACTCAAAGACCCTCATCAGCCCTGCTCCCCACCCTTCACTGTCCAGAGCAGGACCACAGGCCCAGCTCACAGCAGACACCTGTCATGAGACCCTTTACCTGCTCACCTGGTGCTGTGTCCCTGAGTCTGCACTTCCCTGTGTGCGCACCTGCCAATCTTGCCACCCTGCTACTTAACCTT